GATGCTTTACAAATACCTGATTAATTATATTCTGCATATGTTTTTACTGGTAGCACTGTCATGAGATTGCATGATGATTTTTCCTGGAAAAAACACACTTCTCTACTAGAAGATGACAGGTCATAGTCGCTTCTCCTGCTCAGTTCCTGGTCTGTAGTCTCTCTCTGAGGCACAGAAGATCAGAGTATACAAGTGGCTTCTCTTCCTTCTTACCTTCTGCTTCAGCATGTTATTTATCAGCAGCCTTACAGACCGAGTGAAATTCAGATTTGAAGTGATCTTCTAGAGTGACCCTAAATCTGTAGATCAGGCACTGCTCACGGAGTCAAAAAAACCAAAATTCTTGTTCTGACACTATGTAGTGAAATTTCAGGGAAGTTGTTTTATCTCCATGAACCTCAATTACATGTTCTCTGATACAGGTATAGCAGTATTTCTGAGGGCTGCCATTAGGTTTAATAAAATGCATATACTTATTAAGAGATTGACAGCCATTACAGTAGGTCAGTACATGGCAGAAAAGCATCTGAGCTTTCAGTCCCACATTTGTTCCCTAAGGAGTAGTCATGTCATTGTCAGTGAGACTATCTGCCAGCCCTCAAGGACCATCAACTTCCTGCAGCTTAATAACGCTACCTGGGCTTTAAAGCTTTTGCAATATTAAACCCCTCTTCTTCATAGCGCCCCCAAAGGCCAAACACAAAGTCAATAATTTAAGCCTTGTATGATCTTCATGTGCAACAAACTGAGTGCTTGTAACAAAAGCGTGTGTGAAGGGATATTCAATGCTCATTATTTCTAAATCACTAATACAAGCTTTTCCTTCACACTTGGCTTAATATTTAAACAGATAGTCAAACCTCTTCTGTCTCACACTGAATCACAGTAGTATAAGTATTCTAAACAAAACAGAAAGGGACAGCTAGGGTGCTGCTTTTACAAAACAAGCTAAAAGTGGTTGAATAGATTGTGCTGAATTTAAACATAATCCTCTTTGACACAAGACCAGATATGGAGATTTACAGCAAAATAATTCATTTAGCAGTGTTATGCGTCATAGAAGAAAGGGCTCTGGTGCATGTATATCAGTTCGTGTTTATGTAGGTACTCCTGTGCCTGACCCTTACAGTATTATCTGATCCTGTTTTACATAAAGCAATTCAGGTAGCAGAGAGGCAGTTCACCATTCAACCTTGTGCTTGTGAAAGGTACCATAACATTTTCATCTTCATGCAAACAACAGCAAACATATGATACAATTTTAGAAATTGAGGCTGTGACAAATAAGCACCTCAGACTCTTTCGGATTTGGTTATGCTTGAAACTACAGACTTTCTGTACAAAAAAGGTACAGGTTTGTTGATCCAGGTTGATCTGGATCAAATCTTAAAGAGGAACGTTTCACATTGTGTCACTCGGACTCTTGAGTTGTACTATGACCAGACGTGTGCTTTGACTGATCGAAACAAGAGACAGCAGGAAATAACCAACATTCCAGTTTGATGATCATCATTATTTTTATAACCTCACTTTTCTCAATTGTTGAATACAATTTGGGAAAAACACTCTAAGCGTTTCAGAGTTCAAAATGCCACAAGGACATTTCTGCATAAATTCTGTTAGAGGCTGCCTTAATTAGGAGCAACCTTATTCTCCTCAGAAGCATACAAGATGTACCCTCAAGTGATTTACTTACTGAAATACAGTACTTAATTCTGCCCAGTTCCTTCCCACAAGGTTAGAATTGAATAGTATACATATGTAGACAGTAATTTCCTACATACAAACTGCTAAAGGGAGACTTGTGGGTATTTCAAGCACACTAACAGTATATTGAATGATAAGTACATAAATACCTGGTAAGAAAACGAGAGCAACTGACCACATACTGTAGACTGCTGGTAAAAACTGGAATTTAGTTAAATTTAATTCCTTTGCCGTGTTTCCACTGACTTTAATTTACAATTGGACAGATACGTTGAGGTAACTTTTCGCAAGTAAAGGACATAACAGCAATATCAGTAGTTTACCACATCCATAAAGAATATTACCCACACTAAGATACGGACTGAAAGTTATGATTACTGGGCTAAATGTTGGTGAAACCATTAAAACCCATGGATGTCTTCATGTGTGAGGAAAAATCAAACAAAATTATTGAGGCTTGGTGCACTGTTCATCTCTCTCTGAAATTGCTGTGCAAAGCAAATTACAGATTTTTCTTTAGAGGCTATGTAACAATAGTCATTTACACCTTCACAAGCTAATAATATACAAACATGAACTAATAAAGTACATATTCAGATGGCTGTGAAGGTGACAAAGAGAGGAATCAGTTAATGTAGGGCATTCTTTACACCTAGAAACAAAGTCATTGCTTCCTCAGGAAGCCTATGTTGCCAGTTAGGCAAATTCAGGCCATTTAACGCAGTGACTCAGATGCTAAGTCAAGCGACTTTCAAAATTAAGGTATTAAATGCATTTTTGTAGGAGTTACTGTGGCGACAAACTTTATCTTTCCTAACAAGCCTAAATGAGAGCAGCAAATGTATGGAGGAAAAAAAAAAGATGGTAGAAAAAAAGGAACATATGAAGAGGGTGAAAGAAAGCAGAAGAAAGCAGAGCCGAAAAAGGGAACTGGATAATGATCAGAGAAAGAAAAATCTGTGTAAGAAGCCTAGAAAGGCTATTTTTTAATTCCCAGGAACCTGAAAAGAACAATTTTAGGGACAAAGTTAGATCAGGTTGCTCAGGGCCGTGTCCAGTTGAGCTCTGAGCACCTCCAGGGATGGAGGTCCCACGAACTCACAGCAACCTGTTCCAGTGCCTCACCACTTTCCCTGTGAAAACTTTTTGGTTTTCTTCTTATGTCTAGAGGGAATTTCTCTTGGGCAACTTGTCTGTTGCCTCTTCTCCTTCCGCTGTGCGCTTCTGAGAAGCGTCTGACTGTCTTCCATATAATCTCTCCATCAGGTGGTTGCAGACAGCAACTGGATCCCCTCTCTCCCTCCCAAAAGTCTTCTCTTCTCCAAGGTTGAACAAAGTCAGCTTCCTCAGCCTCTTCTCACACACCACATATTCCAGTCCCTAAAGCATCCTAGTGGTCATCTACTGGACTCACTCCAGTTTGTGAATAAAAATATCATTTAAAATGTTTTGGTTTATACTACATGCTAATATTTATCTGCTTATTAGGCACTTTTGCAGTTTCCAGTAACACAGCATTCAAATAATGACAAACAAAACTCTGCAACTCTGCCATGAGGAAGGTAAATTATTATCCCCTCATTCATGAGTAAGAAAACAGAGCACAAAGAAGATGGGAAATGTTGTTCAGTGTTACGCTAGAAAACAGAACCCAGGACTACAGAACTTTTTTCCCATTAAATAAACTCTGTATTTTCAGTTTGCATTTCAAATATTTCGGTACTGGTGAGGGTGCAACTGACCTCCAGAATTCCCACTTACTATACTTCACGAAAACCTATTACTTTCTCATGACATTCAATGGAAACATTTTATTAGCTCATTTGTAAGAAAGAGAATTACTTACTGCCTTCCCATGTACAGTGTAAGAGATTCAATGCCCCCTCTACTCTTTTCCAGTGTTGAAGGTGAAAGAAAGCATATGCTATTGCTTCACTGTCCCCTCTCTTCAGAATATGTTCAGGGGGCAGAATTAAGCTTTTCATTTCTAGTAGATACTGCAATAAAAAAGCAGAATATAATTATTTCAGAGGTAATAAAAAACACAAAAAGCTGCCTGCATTTCTGCAATGCACTTGGTAAGTGTTTCATCAGACGTGTAACATCACCAACTGCACTTGAAGACAATTACTGAATTATTCCCAAAGACTAAGATATGCTGACAGATGGTTAATGCTGTGCTCTTCAGCTGTACTAGGGAGACCATGGAGAATTTCAAAATGAGATGTCTCTCTTATCAAAGAGAAAGAAAAAAAAAGGTTCAAAGCAGAAAGGAGAATCTAATTACAAGAGCCTTTTAATTAAAAGTGTTTATAATAAAATGAAGAAGACATTAAGCAGTTTGATGCATATAGTGTTTCCGTAAGAAAATATGCACAAGGGTTGCTTTACTTACTAGGTATCTAAGTATGCCAAGGCTGGCAGGCATCAAAATAGCTACCAACAAGTTATATTTTGTAAGCTCTGCTACTTGGTAATGAATGTTATGTGCCCAAGATATTACACCATACAATACCTAATTTTCAGAAAAAAAAAAAGTATCTGATGTTTAAATTAGCTACTCAAAATATATACTGAAAATAGTATGAAAATGAAAATCACCACTGAGTAAACCCACAAGCAGTTCTCCCAGTACCAGTTCCACCATAGCAGAACGCAAGTGAAACACTCTGAGGGTTCATGCTACAGCAGAAGATAGCGATCCTGAACGTCATCCCAGTAAGGGATTTTTCTTCACCTTCCACATCATGAACGTCTAGACTGCTACCAGTTCAGCAGAAGTTAGTTACCTCATCACTGGTGTACTTCATTTCAGTTAGTGGAGGGAAAAAGATATAGACTTCCCTTCCTGGCATGCTTTGCAGGGAAAAGAAGGACAGAAAGAAATCACAGGCTGCTGAATCCATCATGAATTGTTAGTTTTCCTCCACAAAGTATAACATTTCCCAGCTGTACACTGACTTCCCTTCAATAGGATATGGAAAGAGCGCTCTCTTCCAGGATGCCCAAGAGCAAATGTTCTCCCTGTTATGGTACCTAATACAACAGGCAACAGTTAGCAGGTGAGTCAAACAGCTCACTCTCAGACCACAACATAAGGACAACTTTGCTGGCGGTGTTTGGATGAATTAAAAGGGGGTGATTCTGTTGTCGGAAAGGAAGACAGTTACCTATAAGGGAGGGAGATAAGACGGCTGCTTTAGCCACCAGGACAAAAGGATAAGGCCACAGAACTACTTGGATAAGAATCTACAACATTTAGTGACAGGCCAGCTGTTTAGCAGAATTAAAATGGGGTTAAAGATGATAAAAGAACTGCAGGCCTTAGGGAGGATGAGTTCTGTCATTAACAAGGTTAAATAAGGCATGAAGGAAAGTTCAGGTCCACCACCAGCAAAAAAACAGTGAGCATGCTACTCATCCACTTTACAAGGTATTCTGTGCCTGCGCACGGTTCTCTGCTTTGGTCTCGAAGAACAAAGACTGCAGAATGTAAGAGCTGACAAGAACTGAGTGCAGGCACGCACTAGAAGGCAACTTCATATCAAAGGTGAAACAGAGGTGTGGGTGATGTTACCCTCTTCGCAGCTCCTGTTAAATGCTGAGTTTTGTGAATGGGAGACTGCAGGGCATGCTTGTACATTGGCTCAATGATGCAGAAGAGAGGAGAAAGCCAAAGTGGGAAAAACTACAAGTTAATAAGGAAGAAGCTGAGTGAAGAAGGGAGAAGAAATAAATGGGACTTCAGAAGCAGCCTTGAAGGAAAAGAGAAGGAAAGGCCAGAGAGCAATGAGAATTAAGCAGGATGGGCATCCTACATGAAGGGCATCCTACAACTTGTCGTCCTTCTGCCTACAGAAGCCTGGAAGGAGCTAGACAAACAGGCAAACAATTTGAAGAAACCAAGTTCAAAGCAGAAAATTAGCAACACTGGGGAACAGATAAGTAATTCAGAGAGGAAAGAGAAATCACACGTGTCTCTCATGTGGGTAACAGTGTTAAAGCAGGGAAAGCTAAATTAGCAGCAGCGGTAGACTGGTGATACTTGGATTTTCTCTAGCAGGTTTTAGAAACATCAGAGAGGGCTGTAGAGCAGATGGATTAATGGAAAGAGCTGCAATTTATTAGGCAGGACAGTCTGAGGGGGAATTAAGAATGGAAGAAAGGATGGAATCAAGAGCTAACAAGATGGAGGGAACTGCCAAGCTTACATAGAAAAAAGGGAATATGCCTGCATGACCTGCAGGTTGCTATTTTATTAGTTTAGAACATTACTCTTATCTCCGTATTTTTTGAAAAAGTGGGTAGGTTCTCAATATTTAAATAATTCAATCAAAGGAGAAAAACAAAAGCCAAAAAACAAATATCTGAAGGGAAAAAACGGGAAGGAATGTCCTATTTGCAGAAGTATTAGGATTAAAATGTGTTATATTGATCTTACGTATTACTTGCTACCTGCTTATGATTAAAAACAAATCAAGCGGAAATATGTGATGGAAGGATATATCTTAACACTTGCAACTAATTCTTAGTCCTCTCTCGTTTCTGATGATATATACAACTGCTTTTTCAGCCTGCATTTTTCTCAGTTTCAGGAGGAAAAAGATATTTGTAAAAGCTATTCAAATAAAAAATGGGAAACGCTCCTCCCTCATCACTCTGTCACATAGCTACTTTCCCAAAAAAAGTTAAGTCCTCTAATCTGGTTTGGTGATATTCAAGAAGGTCCACACAAAGTTGATGGATGGTTAAAGTCCCATGCAGGCCTCATAATAGTCTGTTCCAAGCACAAAGGTCAGTTTCACCTTTTGGGCATAAAGCTGTCAACTAATTTATTCTGGAGGTATTTCCAGTGGGAATGCTAATTGTACATAGCCCCAGAGAGCCCTTATCTGAAACACGGTTCTCATCACGCGCACTCGGGAACAAAAAGATCACATTGTACAAGTACAGAAAACAGCTAATCAAAGAAATGGCAAGTCTACTCTGTGAGAGGATGCTTAAAGGCCTCTGTTTGCTTAACTGATCTAAACTGAAGTAATGTTCACCAAAAGGTACCTAGCTGTAGACAGAGCCTGATATACTACTATATTACAGAAGGAGAGAGATGGCTGTTCAAGAAAATTAGGATGGTCTCGATATCACAGAGTATAATATCCACTCTTGTGTTACTGTACTTTCAAGGAGAGCGTAACGGCCCTTACAGCTTGCCCCCTCCTGGAGATTTGGCTGCCAAGGCTCAGGGCCAACCCAGAGACAGTGCAGCTGAGGAAGGCTCCCTTGCTTTGGTGCCAGTGGGGACAGGCTCCCAGACCGTGCTGCGGGGAGGCCTCCGAGTGGGCTGGCCCCTGCCCATGGAAGCTGCTTTCAGCTGACTCTCCACTGCAGGGGGCCTGCCCGAGCCCAGCCCTGCTGCCTTGCAGCCATTCCTGCGCCTGGCCATGGGCCCTCTGATCCGGGCCCCCACCCCGACCTGCAGACTGATTTCCTGGTCTGGCCTCAGTCCTGTCACTTGGTAGCGGTGGCGCAGGCCCTGGTTGATGAGGCCCCTGCCCTGCCAGCCCAGGGAGCCCCCCATCGTCCCTACCTCCAGGGAGCTGCTGGCCCATGTGCTGCCCTGATAGAAAGCTCCTCACACTGGGGATTGCCCAAATGGGTTCTGTATTAATATGAAGTTTACAGCTGGATAAAGAATGGCCCTTCTCTTTTATAGTGATTCTGAGATTTCAAACCTTGGATTTATTCCAGTTCAGGCCACCAACCAGAAGTGACAGATTTCTCTGTAACATGGAATGATTCTCTTCCCAGCTCCAACAGGGAGTGGGAAAACTGGAAGACCTGTGAGCCCAAGGCAGTCCAGTTAGTGGGCTCTCTTGGAGCAGCCGTCTCTAGTAGCCTCAGTCCAAGTAGTTCAAGGAGATCTGACATCCTTGACTGTATGGATCCAGGGATCACGGGCCAGGGTATTCAAGGTATTATTCCCCTATCAGGTCATAAAGAAGATTACTGTGGAGATGAATGGATGGGATGGCTGTAAGCCAGGTAGGCTACTGACACAGGGATACTTGACAGGCAGGGCTGATTCACAGCAATTTGCTGGGTTTCTGGCATATTGTTACTGAAATCAACACAGCTCCCATGAAACATTTTGGACTGAATAAACAGGCAAATTCTAGTGAAATGAAATTAAATGAAATAAATCTTTCATCAAAAACTGTCCAACCAGCTACAGCCCTCATGCTCTTAAGCTAACATGTGAACCACGTATCTTGATGGACTTCTGCATGCAACAGAATACGTATCTCTAGCTCTTAGACAAAATCAGCCAAAAACAGCTGCTTATGGTTTCCAAGACATTATTACTGCTCTTAATCAAAGATACTACACTAGATAGGCATAGTCTTCTCTTTAGCTATTAATGATTTCAAGGTGGGTATCTGAGTATTTATACCATAATAGCTCCAAAGGCCTCCATCCAGAGTAGGGCCTTGTTCTTACAGACAAATATAAACGTAAGACCTCACCATAGACTCATCATAGCAGTAAAACACATTGGAAAAAATGAGTGCAACCAAAAAAAAAAGGATGAGAGGAAAGACAGTGGACAATGACAACAGTACTAATTCCACCTGGCTTTAGGAGAAAACAATCTACACATCTGCATGGATACCCTATTAAACTGTAACTGCTTATACACTTGCATCTTCTTGGATTCAGCCCTGATCTTTCTGACTGAAGGAATAAAACTTCATTACTTTTTTAATGCTTTGAATACATCGGGAAGACTGGAGCTCTCTGTCAGCCTGACAGGCCTCTGAGCCCAAGCACGGTTCCAGTGCAGCGGGAGGGTCTGGTAACAGGCTAAACAAGAAACTTATCAAAGAGCCAGCATCATGGAGGCAAACAGAGGTGGCACGCACAACACATCTCCACTCTCCCTGAAGCTGTTTTAGAGGATAAATGAATTGCAATCGTTGTACTTCAGTGACGAATGAGG